GTCACACACGTCACTATGGAATGGGCCATTTGCAGATAATGTAATCTAACATGTAAGTTCACATACCAATCTTTTTCCTTCCAATCGTTTCGGGTCAAAAGGACGTAATCCTGTGGCTATTTCTAATAAAACCTAAAAAAAAATAATAACTTCAATAAATGAAACTTTAGATTTAGCTAGAACTATTTTCTGAAGTTCAAGAGTAAACCATAGCCATTTACACTATTTTTGTGTTATTCTAGATCTACACTAACTTATAAAATGGAATTGCTCATGATTGACTTTTACCGTACGACAAAACTTTTTGTGCAAAGAGTGAACCATAGCCTGTTACTGTACTTTTTTTGTTATACTAGATCTACACTGACTAATAAAACGCAATTGCTTATGGTTGACTCTTAGCGAAAGTTCAATCAAAATGTACTTCTTGTGCCAATGGTGAACAAAAAGTGAACATACTCAATCAATACCTATAATGAGTTAGAGGAAAAAAAGCAAGATATGAAAACAATTAATGTGACCTTTTAAATGCAAAAAAATAAAAGTTTTGCAGAAGTTATATTCACTGCCTTCATCAAAAGTGAACAAGTATGATATTTGGTGGAAAAGAAGCAACGGAAACAAATTAAATTTATAGGCAACTTATTCACCTATTATATAGTAAAGCCCTGCACTTTATCAAAGTAGATGAATATTGAAAGTTTAAAAGAAAAGCTGGGCTTAAAACTTATTGATTAAACCGATAATAGATTATTGATTTTTGCTCTCATATCTGAGTTAAGCTTTAGTTGTTTAATTTTATTGAATAGTTCTACAGTCATAGTAAGAAACGTTTTTTTCAAAGAAAAAAATGCCAATATTTTCATTATTTCAGTTAAGTTTACGAAATTTTGTGCAGTTATTTCATAAGATGATCAACCTAATTGGCATGACGTACAAGCCTATCGCTTTATTTTTTAGCATAGAGTGTTCAAAAACGTTATTTTTTGTTCTTAATTTATTGGTGGTCCCTCAAACCTCTTAAGAGTTTTAAACATTGATATGTACGAGGAATCACCTGACCTAAACACTAAAACTAAGTAATTCTACTATTATTTCTTGAGAAATATGAAAAAATTAGTTAGAAGTACAGAAGTGTTACCATTATTTTGTCCAACCCCTGTAACAAATTAAAAAAAGAATAATATTCCTTTGAAATTTTTAGAAACAGGTTTTCAACAAAGCTTGAATAGTTGCGAAAGACTTGATTCTGAACACACTTAGAATGTGCTGCTTTTAAGCGGTAGTCTAAAAGAAATAAATTTCAAAAAACTGAAAAAGTGGAATCCGACTGACACTCTTAATCATTCAGTACATAATATTTGAGGCATGCCAAAATGATACTCTTGGGGTTTAATTAATCCTTGTTTGAGAATTTGTGTTTCTCTAATCCATGTTAGATCAACAAATCTTCATTTTTGAGTTGCATAATTCAATTTAATATTTGCACGCTCCATAACAGAAAATAATAAGAAAAATAGGCATTAACGTTACACTATTTGAATTGAACCACTAAACCCCAAGAATATCGTATTTCACAAATAATTTTATCATACTGATAATATTAAAATGTAAATAAGATTACATACAATTCCATAGCTGAAAATATCAACTTGTGGTGATAAGTGTCGGTGGCGCAAGTACTCTGATGGCAAATAACATTCAGTGCCATGAACACTGGAAACCTTCACGTGGGTATCCTCACATCCCGGCCCTTCTCTAGTCAGACCAAAATCTCCGATTTTCGCATCCATATTACCATCCAGCAAAATATTGGCACTGCAAAAGACAACATGATGTTATTTCTCAAACTAATTAAAAACATAAAGTTTATTTTTAAAATGATGTTCGCTTAGCAATTCAAAATGCTGGAAAAAACCTATGGGCTTTCCAAATGCAACAGAACTTATACAGCAAATTTTTTCCCCCAAGTGGCAGAAATCACTACTGCTATTGTTTGATAACACTTAAATATTTTCCCAATTAGTTGCTTCAAGCCTTTTAGCTTTGACCAGAAGATAAAGAACTACAATTCTGACATGCAATTGAAAAAAACAATGTAAGTGCTTCTCAATAGATTCCAATTAATACACTTGAACTTGATGGTGAAATACACAAAAAGTAAAATTCGCATTAAGGGGTCAAAACTGTGGACCGTTCTCCTGACCAAATTATTGTGACCATATTTCTTAGATTACAGCTTTGTGGGTAAGAAATCTGAATCCATTGAGGAAAAGTTCTGTTTATTCAAAGGAGATTCGTTTTTGTGCCTGACTCCGTAACTTAAAATATTGTCTGCACTTATTAATTAACATACTTGAGGGCACCCCTTAAACCATTGAGTGCTAGAACATGAAGATCTGATCATTAGGTCAAAAGTAATTCAGGGTGGTCTGGTTTTTTTGGCGCAATGTACAACATAGATATGATGATTTAAGCTCATACTGTAAACCTATATTTTTATTACTTGTAATCACTATTACATGCACTTGTGAAAACCTGTAATCGTTTAGCGATGTGATTACGATTAGTCAGGCACATATGTAGTCATAGATTACATAGCGGTAATTGCCTGTACTTAGTTACTGTAACCAACACCTAACTCGGCCCCGACCTCAAAATTGTGGCCTTTTTCCAGTTTAGTCTCTAAATTTATGTCAAAAACTGAAAACACAGAGTTTTGGCTTTGTCTATTTTCATAAACACACATTTCAAAATTTGTCAATTTTTCTAAACATGCATTTCGAACTCCGTCTATATTCGTAATCATGCATTTTGAGCTCTGTCTATTTCTGCATACACACATTTAAAGCTATGTTCAGTTTAGTAAATACAATTTTGAGCTTTGCTCATTTTCATACACAGGCATTTTGAGCTATGCTCATTTTCATAAACAAAAATTTTGAGCTATGTCCACGTTCGCAAACACGTATTGTGCGCTTTGACTATTTTGTTAAACACATTTCAACAGGGTTCCCACTCTATGATGAGATTGA